GGTTCTTCCAGTGGGTACTCGGGTTAGCGGGCTCAGACTCCAGGACAGCAGGCAATGGTATCGAGAGTGTGCTACGAGTGTGGAGATTCGGGTCATCTGAAGAGGACCTGCCCCAGGCTTTGCGGCAAGGCAGTACAGCAGGGTCAGCAGCCCACGATTTCAGCACCAGCTGCCCAGCCACCGAGAGGTGGAGGGCAGGCTGGTCGGGGCCGACCTAGAGGTGGAGGTCAGACAGGGAGAGGTCAGCCAGCTACTGCTCAGGCAGGTAGTGGCCAGCCAGCCGGTGCCCCAGCTAGATTCTATGCTCTTCCGCCTAGGCCAGATGCATTGGCCTCAGACGCCGTCATCACAGGTATTATTTCCGTCGGTGGTAGAGATGCTTCGGTATTATTTGACCCATGGTCTACTTATTCATATGTATCATATCTGTTTGCTCGTTTCCTGGGTATTTCTCCTGAGCCTTTGGGCACTCCTGTTCATGTGTCCACTCCTGTGGGTGATTCTGTGGTTGTGGATCGGGTCTACCGGTCCTATGTGGTCACGTTCTGTGATTTCGAGACTAAAGCAGACCTCCTGTTGCTTGATATGATTGATATTGAGGTCATCCTTGGCATGGACTGGTTATCTCCATATCACGTCGTCCTAGATTGCCATGCCAAGACTGTTTCGCTAGTGATGCCAGGGTTGCCAAGGTTGGAGTGGAAGGGATCCACAGCTGATACACATATTCGGGTTATTTCTTTCCTGAAGGCTCGGCAAATGGTTGAGAAGGGGTGTTTGGCTTATCTAGCTTATGTTCGGGACACCACCGCAGAGTCCCCGACGATTGATTCAGTTCCAGTGGTTTGAGAGTTCGCCGATGTCTTTCCTTCTGATCTTCCTGGCATGCCACCGGATCGTGATATTGATTTCTGTATCGATTTGGCTCCAGGCACCCAGCCTATATGCATTCCACCGTATCGCATGGCTCCTAAAGAGTTGAAGGAGCTGAAGGAGCAGCTCGAGGAGCTGTTGGCAAAGGGGTTTGTTTGGCCCAGTGTGTCACCTTGGGGCGCACCAGTGTTATTTGTGAAGAAGAAGGATGGGACTATGCGGATGTGCATTGATTACCGCCAGTTGAACAAAGTCACCATCAAGAACAAATATCTGTTGCCTCGTATCGATGATTTATTCGACCAGTTGCATGGTGCTAGGGTGTTCTCTAAGATAGATCTGAGGTCAGGGTATCATCAGCTGAGGATTCGGGACTCGGATGTTCCGAAGACTGCATTCCGGACGAGATATAGCCATTATGAGTTTTTGGTGATGTCCTTTGGCTTGACTAATGCCCCGGCAGCGTTCATGGATTTGATGAACAGGGTATTCAGACCTTATATTGATTCATTTGTTATTGTCTTCATTGGTGACATCTTGATATATTCTCGCAGCCTGGGGGAGCACGAGCAGCATTTGAGGGTAGTGCTTCAGACCTTGCGGGAACAGAAGCTAAATGCTAAGTTCTCCAAGTGCGAGTTTTGGCTAGAGTCAGTGGCATTCTTGGGTCATATTGTGTCAGGAGAGGGTATTAAGGTAGACCCCAAGAAGATTGAGGCAGTTCAGAGTTGGCCACGCCCCACCTCAGCGACCGAGATCAGGAGTTTCCAGTACTAATCAGTGTGTCCATAGAAATGTTATTTCTCTCCCTTTTATAGCTATTTCTAAGTACAACATTTTTTCCCTTTCATAATCAAGTCATAATGAGCAATTGATGATATTAATGAGCAATTGTAACTGTTTCGTGAAGATTCTGTAACGTTTCTAATTATTCATGCTCATTAACTGAAGGATAACGAATCTGTACTTTTTGCTGTCTTGGTTCATTCCAGTTGTATCTCTTCAAATTATGAAGAAACCCGAGCGACCGTTTCTTCTTGTCTCTTAAACGCCTTGCTCGTACCTATTAAGACTCGCATCTCTTTAAGTACTCTCCTCCAGCTGTCACTTTCTTAATGATCCACGTGTCTTGCTACGTCGGCCACATAATTAATTCCAAGTGTAATATTGATTTTCTCCAATACACAAAATTATCTTACGTGGCTTGACATATCACAGAAGTGGATACCACATGGAATGCCACCTCACCGAACATATCCCAAGGGGACTGTGGTGGACCAGTTGGTCGTGATTCTTTTATATGCCTTTTAAATATTTTAAATGGTTAATTAGTATGACTTATAGTTTTTTTATGTAGTTTTTAAATATGCAAAATTTTATTTTAAAAACTTAAGAATTTTATATTTGAACTCATGGGCAAAAATAAAAAGTTTGGCTCACAAAATCTAAAATGTGTCACATAACTTGAAAAATATGAAGTAATATTTGACAATGATTAAACTCCAATGTCAATTACTTGATGTTGCCTATTTCGGACTTCGTTTTCATTATGTTCCTTTTTTGGCTAAATTCATTTGAATTCCAAGAAAATGTAGATATCTTGAGATAATTATCCTTCATGTAAGTTTGGATCTAGCATAATTCTTCTTTTAACACATTCAATCATCATGATTTCAAAAATCTAAAGAGATATTTTGTCTCTCACCCCAGAAAAAAATTAGGAAGCAGGATATCATCATTTTTCTTTGTGAATATTAAGACTATTAAATCAAGAAATAAGTTAGCAGTTTATTGATATAACTATGGCATTGTTAAGTTCTCACTAAATACTCCCTTCCCCTGGCCTCCCAAAAGAATAAAGCAAAAAGTGTACGTATTTCTTTTACCAATGGTTAAATTATGATAAAAGCAATAGCAACAACAGGAGAATAAAATAGATGAATTTTTATAAAGCACTTGTGTTAATTGAGATGCGTAACGAATACAATTTTTGTTAATTGAGATCCTATTTTTTCTATGATCTCTATGGTGAAACTAATATTCTCTCCTTTTGTTTTTCTTATTATCTTGAGCCGAGGGTGTTTCGGAAACAGCCTCTCTACGCCTTCGGGGTAGGGGTAAGGTCTGCGTACATACTACCCTCCCCAGACCCCACTTGTGGGATTTTACTGGGTTGTTGTTGTTGTTGTTGTATTGGTTCACACAACGAGTACAATTAAGGCGAAATTCATGGGTGTACGTATACAAATGATACAATATATATCGACTATATGTTGAGAGTCAAACTCAAGACCATCGCTTACTAAGCCAGCACTCCAACCAACTGAGCTACAAAAGTTTGTTGGTCTCTTGTTTCATTTCAAAATAATTGATATCTTGTTTCAAAATACTACACGTGGATTTGCTATATATAAAATTTAAATATAGCTACGAATGGTAATTTTCTGAAAGTATAGTTACAAATAGTAATTATAATATATTTGTTTACTATAGGTGAACTTTTTTTTGTCCAAAAATGAGTTCAAAAATAAAACTACAAATTAACCAATAAAAATGAAAGCAAAACGGTTCGTTGAGTGAAATTATAAATAGGTGATCGTAATTCGTAAGTTCATAACTCAGCCATGCAATCAAATTACTACATTCTACAAAAGCTGTTACTTATAAATAGTTCAAATTAACGTCCCATTTCCCTCTCTTTTCTTTCTTGCTCTCTGCGTCTTCATTTCTTCATTATCTTATTCACAAGAAACTCAAGATGTCTGATAAAGATAAAGGCAAAAATAAGCAAAAAATGGAGTCAAAATCTGGAAAAGAAGATGAAAATAAAGTGCAGGAACTTGTGGATAGATTACCTCAGATGGATGTACCAAGAAAACGGAGGAGCAATACAGTAACATTCTATAACTTAATTCTATAAAAACTATTTTTTTTTTTTTTTAATTTTTTGATCATATATACTGTGGTTTAATTAAAGGGTGCATGAGTTGAAAATGATCTTTTTCTTGATTTAGGATGTTAATATTGGACGGAGGAGTCGAATACGCCCAAATCTTTTACCTTTCAAGAAGAGATACTTAAAGCTACATATGAATATACCAGTAGATGTAATTGAGAATGATGAATTGAAGATTATCAACCTCAAAACTGATGCTGCATGCTACAAATGAAGGTAAAGGCAATTCTGATATGGATATTCACAGTAAATAGACTAACACTATTGTCTATTGTTAAAGATGAAGATACCAGTAAATGTAAGTGAGAATGATATTGAAAAGAACACTAGTCATTAAGATTTGTCTATACAGAAGAGAAGAGTGTTACAAATTTTCTTTGATTTTTGAAATGCTAAGGCCTATTGCCAAATCAATGGAGTAATTTGTATGAGCATGATAATGTTGTTTGGGATAGGAAGGCCTAATGCATTTTTACTGTTTTATATTAGATGATCTGCTGATTCTGCCCTAGCTCCTATGTGTAGCTATATTGTAGTATTTTAATATTTTCTGTAGTTTCTTTCTTTCCATTCCACCCAAAAAAAGAAACTATATTGTTTCACTCTATTCCTTAACCTTTTACATTTCTAGAATTCCTCTGCCTTTTACTGCTGTAAGTAGGCAAAAATTGAACTAGGGGTGGCAAACGGGTGGGTCAGATATTGTCGGGTCGAAAACGGGTAATATAAAAATAGATATGACAGTAAAATAGCCTTTCATCAAACAGCACTATTTGACAACAATGACAGAATTATCCATCTGCTGAAATTTAATATCTCATTTTACTAGTGGTATGGAATAATTCTGCCGAGCTTGCTCGCATCACCGGTTTCAAACCAGGGATAAAGGAGGAGGGTCGTGGTAGGCAGCCATCCAACGTATAACTAGTGAATTTATGATAAATTCTCACAATACTAAATAGAAATGAGCTTAAATGGAGCGTCATGAAAAGAGGGAATTTATATAACCGACCCCAACGTGCTTTAAAATTTCAGACATCGTTATAATAAAACTTGCTAGAATGCAATAAAATTTGATTAATTCTTGTCTTGGAGAAATATATAGTAGTACTACAAACAAATCCTTTTAGCTGCTAGTTTTATTCATAGAAAGTAAAGTAATATTACTACATTAAAATCTATCTCCACAATGCACTTTCTTGTTTACATGATATAGCCATCCAAATCCTTTAATTGCTTTAGAAATTCTTACAATATTAGCCCTTCCTATTCCCAAATTCACTTTCCTAGCTGACAACTTTAGTGCCTGTAAGCAACACAACTGCTCAATGTGCTCATTCACCTCTCTTTTTTCCTCTTTAAAATAGCTCTTGAGCTCTCCTTTTCTCTTCATCTTCTTCTTCTTTCTATTATTTCTGTTTGCACTGTTTTTTATGGCATCCATTTCATACTTTTCCCACAATAAATCCATTCCTTCACTTCTGCTATCACTAGCATTTTCCCTTTCCTCATAAAATTTGCATGCCAATGTCCTTTTCCAATCTTTTGCTTTATAGGTTTTTCTACTCTTTGGCTCAATTTTTTTCTCTTCAACAGTATCACTCCAATTCATATTTTCAAACTCATCCACTTCTTTTAAGAAGTCTACCAATATCTTTCTCTCCATAGTAGTACCCCTTGTACCTGAAGAATCAAGATTTGAACTATCACTTTTCTCAGCTGATTTACAGTCCAAGAATTCAGCTGGGGTCCCTACAAGAATTGAACTTTCACTTTCCTCAGCTGCTTTACTATTCAAGAATTCAAATGGGGTTACTAGAAACACCATTTTGAAGACTTTGAATAAAGATCCTCACTTTCATTGTCAATCTGAAACCTTAAACTTTGTACTAAAGAGTGGTATGCAGAGTGCAGAATACTAAACTTGCATGATTCAAAAAAATCAGAGGAAACATAGTTAAAGCAGAGGATGAGGGGAAGGAGCAAAATGGAAGAGGAAAGAAAGGATTTTTAGAAAGGAATAAAAGAAGAGGAAGTCAGAGGAAATACTTGAAATTTGAGACGTTGTAGAAGTAGTAAAACTGCTATATAAGCACAGCTCAGACCTATTTTTGTCTCTCTAAGACTAGTGGAGTAGAGGGGGGAATTGAAAAATGGAAGATGGAGGAGAAATGGGGGAGAAGAAGTAAAAGAAGAATCTTGTGCTCTTCTGTCTTGATTAGGTAAACAAAGGAAGAAATGTATTATTGTGATGGTAAATGCGGCGTGAATAAAGGAAAAACGATTGAGTTTACTCTCTAAAAGCATCTGCTTGCCTCGCTGTACGATTTAATTTTTATACACAATGTAGAGATTTTAAAGATTAATTATGTAAACGTCAACGCTGGATAACTATATACTATACTACTCCTAAGTGTGTATTAATCAGGGACGGATGTAGAGTTTGACCGTCGGGTTCATTTGAACCCAGTACTTTTCATGCGGATAAATTTATGTGTATTACAACAAATGCTATGTCTGAACCTATAATTTTAAAAATAGAATGGGTTCAATATTAAAAACTTTAAAAGTTGAACCCATAAAATCAAAATCCTAAATCTGGCTCTAGTATTATTGACTTGGGAAAAAAGGTAAATAATAAACTATATTGTGAATCATGTCAACCTATAAGAGAAACTAACTCATATACGCTAACAGAAAATACTATAGCTGTAAAAAAAAAACATATTGTAGCAATTCATATTTTTTTCAAGGTTAGCTTACGCATATCTTGTAAAGTATCATTTTCCGATTAACCTAATAGTATCATGAAATAAGGAAGGATGAGTAACTAACAAAGATCTCCAAAAAAACCATCCAAATAGTCAACGATACAACAATTTGAACCGCGATGCATGCAGGTAACAAAGATTTACATCAAAGTTTTGATAATTGAAGAGGCTGACTTGCCACAAGCAGCAGCTTGCACAACAATAATCAACACAGATCAGTGTTAAAGGCAAAATCACATTAAAATAAAATTGGCAAGATCAACGTATCCTTGCCATAAATAATCATGAGAGATGCAATGTATTCAAATACACGACATTTATAGGAAAATCTCTCTTCATCTCAGTTGAGATAGCTTCAGCTTCTTAAGAACATCAATACCTACTGAGTAGGCCATAGAATACTGAAGCTGAATTATACTTCAGCCTTACAAACACTTCTCAGTTCTAAGTACAGTGAAAAAGCATGAATATTCAGGGCATCATACAGTTGTAAATACGAAAAAATTCACATAATAGCCTGTCAGCATTCCTCTGCTTGTCAAACACTTAACAACTCATCAATGCAGCACCCAAAAAGGAAACAAGCAAGAGGAAAAGGCATGCGATACAATGCTCGTTTACATTTTTGCTAGCAGTCTTCTATTTGTTAGAGAATGATATATACCTCTTGTCAGAACTGAACTACATAACACTTAACTGGATACCATAACCACCAGATATGTTTCCAGAAACTAATTACAACCCCTAAAGATCACAAACACAAACTAATCAACAGTTCGTCACGTTCTCCTTCATGAGCCCACTTATTTTCCTCATAAACCTTCGCTTCTTCCTCTTCTGTGAAATCATTAGTGACATTAAATATCTTCCTAACAGCCTTCACCGACTTGTTCTTAATTCTATCAGCAATTGTCTGACATAAAAACTCAAATAAGCCCTTAATGTTAAGGTAATTAGCAGCAAATACAACTTCAAACAGATTTTTGGAGTTAGTATTCACGAATTCCTTGTCGAAATTTTTGATATCTTCCAAGTTTTTGATAACTTTTTCATTCAGATCCATCTTCTCAAAGTTTTTGATATCTTCTTCGCTCAGATTCATCTTGGCATCAGCGTGCTTCTTCATGTACTCGATAATTTTGGTTAGGGTTCGGGTATTGACATTTAGGAGTGGGATTATGCTGTAATCATCTTCCACCATGTTTTTGATGGTTACAGATTGAACGGCGATAGATTCTTTGATCACAAATTCATCACCATCGGCTGATTTCAAGATCAGAATCTTCTGCTCAGTTGTTGCTGCTGATGACGATGCCACAGAGAAATTGAGAGGAAGAGAAACCCTTGAACAAAAAGTACAGAAAACGCAAAAGGCAGCATATGTAAAAGCTTGTATAGATTAAGACCAATAAAAGTAAATGATCCAAAAAACTTAAGAGAGATCTATTCAAATGACAATTGCGTGCTCAACATCTTTAAAAGAGTTGCTTAACAACATTTCAAATAATCTAAAATAAGTTCACATCTGGCAGCTCTCACTCATTCATAACAGGCTTGTTATCACTTGCTTTTGGCCTCTGTTCCTTGGGCCTCTGCTCTTCAGTTTTCCTAGACAATTAGACAAAGTATTAGAGGCGCTGCGGTTATATCAAGATCAACATGCAGTTAGCATGAAAATGTGCACACACATCAGAGTATCCACCACGGAGAGACCAGAGTGAACATGACGAAAAGACATAAGGAAATAACTACAAGAGCCTAAAAAGATGAAGGTTTTATAACCTGATATCATCAAACTTTAACCCTATAAGATGACGGAAGTTTACAAGGAAAAAAAAGAATATATATATATATATATATATATATATAATGCAAAATTGCAACCAAGTAAAATGACCTTGACTATGACGACGTGCCAAGGAAGGGATCTCCCCTAGTTTGGGGTGAGGTACGGAACACACCAAGTTGACATGAAAACTACATTAGATAAAGATCTCCACAAGAAGCAGCTCATGAAAGACCTCGACAATTCTCTTGTTGCACTTAAAACTCATTAACGAGCTCAACAAGCAATCTTCGGGATTCCCTAATGGTTTTTATAATTGAAGATATCCACAAGAAGCAGCTTGACTAACAAGAACATTAGGAAAGAAAAAAATCATTAAGGAAATTTCTCAATAATTCTTTTGTTGCACGTAAAGCCAATTAACAAGCACTCTAAACCATCTGAGACACTTTATCTGAATGTTTTTATAATTGAAGAGCTGACTTGCCACAAGCAGCAGCTTGAGTAACGAGAACATTCAGAAAAGAAAAGACCATTCTTTATATCCCTAAAGACAAGAAAAGACCATTTACAAAAGCTTCTATATTCTTTCACTGCACTTAAAACCCATGAGAAGCACTATATGCCATCTTAGACACTATCTGATGTCTTAATAATTGAGGAACTGACTTGCCACAAGCAGCAGCTCGCCTAACGATAATATTTACAGATCAACATTAGATCCAAAATCAGGTTAAAATCAATCAGAGATGCTTTGTGTTCAAATAAATGACATTTAGTAGGAAAATCTCTCATCATCTTGATTGAGATTGCTTCAGCTTCTTAAGAACATTAAATACCTACTGAATAGGCCACGAATAAGCCAAATATCAAACATGTTTTCTCATCGCTTTATTTCTGAGGCTGAATTAAAATTTCAGTCTTACAAACACTTAGCAGTTACAAGGAAGTATATTGACAAAGCATGAAATCAATACTCAGGGCATCACATAGTTGTGAATATGAAAAACCATTCACACAATTTCCTGTCAAACATACTTTCTACTGGTCAAACACTTATTAGCTCATCACTAATAGAGCAGAGCTAACTGAGATAGATGTATCCTGCTAGACATCATGAGATTCTACGACATCAAGTACATGAAATTTTGTAGGAATATCTCTCAGCATTTCGGCTGAGAATGCTTCAGCTTCTTAAGAACATAAACACCTACTGAGGTAGGCCCTAAAACAAGCCATAATCAAACATGTTTCTCCACTGAATATTTGTGAATACGAAAATAATGTTGACTGCATCATATTGTTGTGAATACGAAAACATTCAGAAATTGCCTAGCTAGGACATTTTCTACTGGTTGAACACTTAAAACAACTCATCACTACCATATAACAGAGCTGAGCTAATTGAGATATTTGTATATAAAATTTATGGAAATTTTACTTTTACACAGCACACCGAAAAAGGAAACAAGCAAAAGCAACTGGCATGAAATATAACGCTCGCTTCATTTGTACTAGCAGTCTCCCATTTTAGGCAAAATGCGAATAAAAAGCGTAAAACAATGCACTACGATGAATTTAAGGCTAACGAGAAAATTAAAATGTACCTTTTGTCGGAGGCGCCTCCTTTCTGGCTGAGGAAGGAGCGGAAAAGCGGAGAATTCACGTCGTAAATCATCGTCGTTGGTCAGAGGCAAATGATGGAGTACACAAAACCCTAATCTCCTGTTTGCTCAAGCTCAGCTCCACTAAAACCTTCTCTAGTCTAGAGATAATCGGTCATTTGGGTTTGTTCAGCTTTACATTGAGTGGATAAGTGGTAATGGGCCGACAGTTGAGACCATATGGGCCAAGTTAATTGAGAAACAAAAGCCCCGATATTTATTGAGGCTTTTTCCTATATATGCCATATATGAAACTATATTACCAAATATGTTCATAGTTTGCTTATTACCCTTCATGTTAATAGTATTTCTACCTAATATATACAATGCATTAAATAAGGAATCACTGTAGCTTTATGATTCCTTATTTTGCGCGCTAAAAAAGGGGAATTAAATATTTTCCAGATCTTCCCCAACGCAAATGACGCACATTCCATAATTATCGTCGGCTTCACTCTGATCTTCCACAACGCAGAACAAGATTTTCATACTCTGTTTTTGCGAAAGACTCTGTTTCCAGAAATTCTCTCTACATATCTCTCTGTTTCTCAATCGCAAATTTCAGTAATACAAAGCAAATGAAAAGAGAGCAGCAATTCCACCATTTACATCCATTAAAAAGCTTGAAAGCTTTGAATTCAAATTTGGGTTTCCAAAAATCATTATTTGTTTGGATTGGGTGTTGTTGAAAATAATCGGGAATATGGTTTGGAGTTTATATCTCAATTTTGAGGGTTTTTGGTGAAGATTAGGCTTGGTTTTGACTGAATTTCAGATTGAAACTCGAAGAAGAAGAAGAAGACATATTGCATAAATTGTAGATTATTTGTATTCTGATTGTAGATGCTTTATTTTCTATTTTCACAAATAAAAAACGGCTAAAACTTCTACAAATCTTCTGAAAAAACGCAATTATGTCAAAAATTCCAATTATGCTACAATTGAATGGGAATTGGGATATAAAAATTCAATGTACCCAGTTTGTAGATATTTTTTAGATAAATTATAGATTATTTATATCCTAATTGTAGATGCTTTGTTTTCTGTTTTCAAAAATAAAAAACGACTAAAACTTCTACAAATCTTCTGCAAAAAACGCAATTATGTTGAAAATCCCAATTAAACTTCAATCAAATTGTAGATTATTTGTATTCTGATTGTGGATGCTTTGTTTTCTGTTTTCAGAAATAAAAAACAACTAAAACTTCTACAAATCTTCTGCAAAAAACGCAACTATGTCGAAAATCCCAATTAAACTACAATCGAATGGGAATTGGGATATTAAAATTCAATATACCCAGTTTGTAGATATTTTGTAGATGAATTGTGGATTATTTGTATTCTGATTGTAGATGCATTTTTTTCTGTTTTCACAAATCCAAAACGACTAAAACTTCTACAAAATCTTCTGCAAAAAACGCAATTATGTCGAAAATACCAATTAAGCTACAATTGAATGGGAATTGGGATATTAAAATTTTATGTACCCAGTTTGTAGATTCTTCCACCATTGCAAAAGCTCAGTTCGTCGACATTCTCTATGTGGCATAGGAATATATATAATTATATATATATATATTATATATATATATATATATATATATATATATATATATATATATATATATATTTCCTATTATATATATATAATAGGAAATATATATTATTTTTGAATGAATTTCCTATTATATATATATATATATATATATATTCCTATTATATATATATATATAATAGGAAATATATATTATTTTTTGAATTGAATTTCCTATTATATATAATGCTCTATCTCTATAATAGGAAATATATATATATATATATATATATATATATATATATATATATATATATATATATATATATATATATATATATATATGCATGAATTTATTTTTGAATGTGGCATAATAGAGCATTCAAAAATAAATTCTTCTATTTCCTATTATGCATGAATTGCTAAGATGATCTCTAAGTGCGTTTGCGCATTGTAATAAGCTTGTACTATATTTATTGTATGTATATCACATTAATTTTTAAGAAAGCTGATGTCGATTTTATGGATTCATCTACGTCTACAATTTTTGGGCAGCTTATGGCTCACTTTTTGCTCAATATTTGAATCTGGAAATTACTTGCCATAAGTAAGCAGTTCAATTTAAATGACGCTTTTCATTTTTAAGATTTTCAAGCATTAACATCTACTGCACCTTTTTTTTTGAATTTATCTTTTTTAGTATTTATATCTTAATTTATTTTCTACTATTACCTACAGTTAAATTAATTTATCTTAAACTTGTAGTCCAATAGTATAACAGAAATGAATTTTTGGGAGAGATAGAAACGTGGGATGAGTGGGGATACTTATCTATACAGATTCCTTTAATTAAGGAGTAAAAAACATACAATTAATTATACCCTTAATTAATTATGGTATAGAATTGGTAATTTGGTATACTAATACTCTGTTTGGATCATTGTTCCCCATCGTTTTATAATGTATTGTATTGTATTGTATCGTATTGTACCGTATCGTTTTAAGAATACAATTTTGGATAGATTGTATTGTTTGTTATTGTTAAATAATATTTTGTTGTTTGGTTTGACTGTATCGTACTGTACTGTAACTGATAAGTTTACTAAAATACCCTCAATTGTTTAAATATTAAATTTATCAAAAATTATGCATAAAATAATTTTAAAAACAAAACAGAAGAAGGTAAAACACAATAAGAAAGCAGAACAAAGGAGCGAGACAGAAGAAAGCAAAACAAAGGAGCACAACTACTTAGAATTGAGTTACAAGCAAATTAGGAGAAAAAATAAAACAGAAGGCAGTAAAACACCTTTAACATTGGTCTGGAAAAAAACAAAGTAGGTTATAAGTTGGAGATTTGGAGTTAAAATAGAAAAAAGATAAAGGGTAAAATAGAATTGTGGAGTAATAAGTTAGGGCATAATTGGAAAGAAAAATAGGAAACAATCCCAGCACACCAAATCGGTTGTTTCAAAAAAGAGGACTTTTCATTGTTCCGGAACAATGGATTTAACAATACAATACAACCAATTTTATTGAAACAATCAAAACAAACATTGTTTTGGGATAACAATACAATACAATACAACGAGGAACAACCATCCAAACAAGCTATAGGTGTAATTAAGTCAAACCTTAAACATTGAGGGTAATAAGGTTTCCTATGTGACATAGGAATATAAAAATTCCTATTTATTTGCTGATTTCTTCTTAGTTTTCACTAATTAATTAGTACTAATTTAACTAGAATAATATAGAATTATTTTTCTTTGCTTGTAGCTGCCACATGCCAGGTCTATTGCTGTAAACTTTGTACCCATCTATCTACTTCCAAAAAAAATTATATTTTGGCTAATATTCGTTATTTGAAGATTACAGTACGAAAGATACTCTATTTTCCAAGCTCGAACTCCATATGTCTCCTTAAGTGTGAAGTAATTCCGATCATCCCACCACATCATTTCGTTGTAATAAACATTACACTTAACACTATGGATTACTGCCTCTGCTATGGCAGAATTTCTGCTCTTAATGCCTATGCTACCCAGGAGCGGATCTTATCTAGAGCAAAGGTTACGGGTTCCCGTGAACCCAGTAACTTTTGCATAAACCCTGTATTTGTATTAAAAAATTCATTAAAAGTATAGGAATATTTAGATTGGAACCCAGTTCGTTGGTTCAGTTATCATGTAGATTAACTTGAGATTGTTATAGGAACCCATAAACTTAAAATTTTGGATCCGCCTCAGCGTGCAAGGGACGGGGTGGTAGACCACCCGCAAGCTTTGGCCGAGACTATACAATTATAAATAAAAGGAATATATACAAATATTTTAAATGACCTCTTTCACGGTACCACAGGCAAGGCATGGCTATTTTCACTTAAATAGTGAGGGTTCGACTCTTGCCCACCTCACTCTTTAAAAAGCTTTTGTTTGGTGCATTTAATACAATTATAGGAGGATCCTTTGTTTCTTCTTTCTCTTTACTTAATTATTTTTTTTTCTTCCTTTGATCTTATTAGTCTATTTTAAAATTTCTTTTCTTCTTTTTCTTTCTTTAAACATTTAACAAAACATATATAACAAAAATCTTTCACAAATCTATTCAAAGAAATCCCATAATAAGTTACTATTGTTTTAATCAATGATGCAAGTTTATTTTGTTGTTAGATTGCTCTGAAGTAGGAGAATTATATGTAATATTGAGCGAGTCAATTTTCATAAAAAAATATAAATTAAAAACTATCCGTAAACTTACTTATTATTTAGAGTGCTTATTAGTATAAATTTTTGTCTTAAGTATCTAAATATAAAGTGATAACGAGCCTTTTTTCTTGTACAAAATGCATGCTTTAGTTGAATTTTATGCCTGTTTTTTCAACTTATCATAATTATTACGTAATCTTTTTGCTCAATCGATTTGTTTATGTTAACTCCAAAGACGAATACCCGAACCAAAATCCAAATAGACCAAACCGATTAAATTTATACCTTATTTGGATAATGTAAATCGTAATATGACTACGTTCAAAATTTTTGGCACCCAAAACCTCTAAATCCCGGATCCACCTCTAATGCTACCCTGCTTAACTTGTTTGTACAATGTGCTACCAGAGTACAAGTAGCAACCTTTTAACTTTTTAGTTGTCAAATAATGTAATTTTTTACATTACGTAAAAACCGTAAGTTGTATCCGCATAGTTCGAGAAATTGGTGTAGTGTGAAATGTGAATTGAAGCGACTTTTCGAATCAAAATTAATTATAGCCAATACTGGCCTTCTTTATATACCATCATTTGCAGAGTGAAACAAGACAACAATTTCGATCTCAATCCAACTATATCAATTCTTAATGACCATGTTTCTACATTTGCACAGTGAAACGAGAATAAAAAAATATGTACTATATTTTACAACGACTTGCGTTGAAAAAAAAAAGTTGTACAAGTCTACGTAAATATAACTCAAGCTAATACTTATTACTCATCTGTTCCATTTTATGTGAACCTGTTTCCTTTTTGGTCCGTTCCAAAAAGAATGACCCCTTTCTAAATTTAGAAACAATCTAGCTTAAATTTCCAATTCCACCCTTAATGAGAAAC